CGTGTGTAAACCGTTTTTCATTCATAAACAGGGGGTTTGGCGGATGTATGGAATGGACTATGGCCTTTGTTTATGAGGACGGGCTGCTCCATGGAATGTTTAAACTTCAAATTCTAAAGTTTAAAGAAATATGAATCAGCAGTTTCGGGAGAAACATAACTATTCTTATGATAGTTATGTTTGTCTATTATTCAGTGTCGTTAGTCTTGACCTTGACGATTGTTTGCTTGTGAGGTGAAATGACTGAATCTTTACTGGAGCGTTGTTGTTTGTGTATAGTTAAGCACATGGTAAGACGCGATGCATTCCTGCCTATATATATGAAAAATATTTTCTGCTCATCACCTCTCTCTTGCCTATTTATTGCCCTTCGCCTCCTCCTTCCCTCATCACAATCGACTTGAGAATGGTCCAGGACGGACCGAAACGTCCTCGTCGTCCCTTCACTTTCTAGTGTGTGGTCTGGTCAACATATTTCAGCCACGTTATTGTGACTCCTCGTCTGCTTCTGTATATTAAGAACGCTGGGGGCCGACTTTCCCTAAGTCTGTAGAAGTAAGAGACATACCAAGCTATTTGTTTGGTAAAGAATCATACCAAGACGTACCAAGAATCACCAAGGTATTTGTTTGGTGAAGGCGTCGTGGTTGATGTCGGGAGAGTTCTGGATGAGGAAGATGATGGTCTTCTTAGTCTTGTGATGAATGATGGGCAGCATCTTCTGGTCAGCCTTGCCAGAGGTCACGTTTCCTCTCAATTACGTCCTTCAGGAGTCTTTCTTCCGTTTTGTGAGCCTGAGAAAATGTAGTTTGAGTGACAGTTTTATTGGTTAAACAGGTTCTGTAGTGTAATAACATCAGTTTTTATTATATTATTTTTATTATTTGTTATATTATTTCTACCACAGACGTGGGCCCCCGTCTGTGGTAGAAAAAAAAAAAATATATTTTTTCTGTCTTGCATGGTGATATGCTAGGTTTCGTTTTGATGATCTTTTTCATATACTAGTTATAGCGTATACTACGTTGTCTAGGACCTGTCCTAACTATAGTTAGTTGCTAGTTAACTTAAGTCCCAATGGAGCTGGGTGAACAAGCAGAGTTCAC